GGACCCCTCGTGGCGACGACAAGCCTCGCCCAGGAGCAGGACGCAGCAGCCGGGCGAGTCTGACACGAAATCCACGGATGCACGGCGCACGCGCAGCAAACGTTGGAGGCGAGGAGCGTGGCAGATCCGAGGAACACGGCAAACACACCGAGTGCGACGGAGCCTTCAGCCCAAGTGGGCACGGATCCTCCTCGGGGGCTGTGCTGCCAGCCCTCCTGTGAGCTGGGTCCTCGCTTGGAGTCCGCAGCGCCGCACGCCTCCTCCTTCTCCTCTCACCACCTTTCTTCCTGCCTGATCATCCTCTCCCGCTTCGCTTCGTGGCCTATAGCGAGCCCCAGCGCAGGCCCCAGTGGCTGCGCCCGCACGGTGGCCCGCCGCCCCATTCGGCACACCCCTGAGGGACTCCACCCAAGGCCTCAGTAGCTGCGTCCGCATGGTGGCCTGCCCTATTTCGGCGCACCCTTCACGCGTCTCTTGACCCCGTAGGGAACTCCACCGAAGGCCCCAGTAGCTGCGTCCGCATAGCGACCTGCTCAATGTCGGCGCACCACTCGCATGTGTCGTGGCCCCGCAGGGAGCTCCACCGAAAACCCCGGTGTCTGCGCCCGCATGGTGCCCCGCCCCATTTCGGTGCACCCCTTTGTCGTTTCGCCCCGTAAGGAACTCCACCAAAAGCGCGAATGGCTGCGTCCGAATAGTATTCCGTCCAATTTTGGAACGTCCCGCATACGCGCCGTGGCCCCAAAGGGAGCTCCACCGAAGACCCGAATGGATGACAGGGGAACGCTGCGAAGAGGAATATGAATGATTGGGGCAAGAGGGGCATGGGAGAACAGGAGGAGGGACGGGCAGAAGTGCGGAGAAGTGAACTCCTGGACGACCTCGAGCACACGGAGGACAGAGGGGAGGGGACGCGCTGCCCCTCCTCCGCGCGTGCCTTTTCACAGTGGCCTCCGACCGGCCCATCCTGTCGGGAGCGGCCAAGAGGGGGGTGTCCAAGAGGGGGGGGGTGCAAATCATGACCGGCGGCATGTGCGCGGCCCAGCGGGGGGGCCAGGGACGTAATGAAATAAGAAGAGTCGCCATGAAATCTGGGGAAGTATCATGGCCCACGCCATGATATCCACCCCCCCTAGTCATCACCCCCCTCTTTTCCGCCCCCGATCCTGCCACCGTGCCTGGCTTCGTGGGCGGAGACCGCCGGGAGGCCTCTCGGGATCTGTTTGGAAGCCTCTGGGCAGCCCTCCAGAAGCAGGTCTGCAGCCCCTCGGGGGCGGTTCGGGGCCCTCTTCTGGAGACTGCTCGGGCTGTCTTCGGGCGACTTGTGGAGAGCATCTTGGAAGCAATTTGGGCCGCTGGAGGCGCCGAGGAGGCCGCCTTGGGACGACTCGAGGCCACCGTGGGTCGTCTTGACGGCTGTCTGAGCGCCCTAGGCGTCGATTTGGGGCTCCCGACGTGTGCGCGGGAGGCCCGGTCTTCCCATTTGCGGTCGGGGTTCCTGCCCGGGGGCCCGCACAACTACATACACACATCGTAAGAGCTCGTGGAACCTCGGTTTCTTCATGCTCAATCCTGCCTCCTCCGCCCGGCGCAGCCCAGCCTTCAGAAGGACGTGGAGCATGCGATGCGCAGTCGGGTCGGGCTCCTGAGCGGCGACGCGAGCGTGGCCGCAAGCGAACTCCCCCTCGTACTCCTCATACCCATCCTCCTTCCATCACCATCACCCATCACCCATCACCCATCACTCATCACTCATCACCATCACCATCACCATCACCATCACCATCACCATCACCTCACTCATCACCATCACCATCACCATCACCATCACATCACTCATCACCATCACTATCACCATCACAATCCCAATCGCCATCGCAATCGCCATCGCCCTCCTCCTCCTCCTCCTCCTCACAATATCGTCATCATCATCATCATCATCATCATCATCAGCAGCAGCAGCAGCATCAGCATCAGCATCAGTATCGCCGTCATAATCACAAGTACCATCACCATCACCAACACCGTCTCCATCACCATCGCCACAACCACCACCACCACTATCATCATCCTCATCATCATCAGCATCAGCGTCATCATCATCACCACCACCACCATCATCATCATCATCATCAGCATCATCATCATCATCAAAATCGCCATCGTCATCATCATCATCATCATCATCAGCAGCATCATCATCATCATCATCAACATCATCATCATCATCATCATCATCATCATCATCATCATCAGGGTCGATGGCATCATGATCACCATCATCAGCAAAAGCAGCAGCAGCAGCATAATCATCACCAGCATCATCAATACCCACATCATGATCCTCATCCTCATCCTCATCCTCATCCTCACCCCCTCATCATGACCATCATCATCATCAGCAGCATCATCGTCGTCAGCATCAGCAGCAGCAGCGTCAGCATTATCATCATCAGCAGCATCAGCATCATCAGCATCATCAGCAGTAGCATCATCATCATAATCATCAGCATCACCATCATCACCAGCATCATCATTATCATCATCAGAATCATCAGCATCATCATCATAGTGATCATCATCAGCATCATCGTCCGCATCGTCGTCATCATCACCCTAATCGTGAGCATCATCATCGTCATCAGCAGCATCATCAACATCATCGGCATCAACAACGTCGTCGGCATCGTCATCATCGTGGTCATCACCGTCGTCAGCATCAGCAGCATGATCATCAGCATCGTCAGCAGCAGCAGCATCATCAGCATCGTCACCATAATCATCCTCATCGTCCTGATTAGTATCATCAGCATCATCATCATCATCATCATCATCAGCAGCAGCATCATCGCCGTCGTCAACATCAGCATCATCAGCAGCAGAACAGCATCATGAACACCATCAGCAGCATCGTCAGCATCATCATCATCATCATCAGCAGCAGCAGCAGCAGCAGAAGCCGCATCAACATCATCATCGTCCTCCTCCTCCTCCTCTTCATCATCATCCTCCTCCTCCACCTTCGTCTCCTCCTCCTGCTCCACCTCCACCTCATCATCAGCCTCCTCCTCCTCCTCCTCCTCCTCCTCCTCCTCCTCCTCCTATCCCTCCTCCCCCACCACCTCCGCCTTCTCCTCCTCCACCACCTCCTGTTCATTCTCCGCCTCCTCCTCCTCCTCCTCATCCACCTCCGCCTCCCCCTCCGATTGCTCCTCCTCCTCCTCCTCCACCATCTCCGCCTCATCCTCCTCGAACACCACCACCTACTCCTCCTCCTTCTCCTCTTCCTCCTCCTCCTCCTTCTCCTCCTCCTCCTCATCCGACTTCTCTTCCTCCTCATCCATCTCCTCCTCCTCCTCCTCCTTTTCCTCCTCCTCCTCCTCCTCATCCGACTCCTCCCCATCCTCATCCTCATCCTCCTCCCCCTCCTCATCCTCATTCTCCTCATCCGCATCATCATCAACAACAACAACATCATCATCATCATCATCATCATCAGCAAAAGCAGCAGCAGCATAATCATCACCAGCATCATCATCATCATCATCATCATCATCATCATCATCATCATCAGCATCATCATCATAATCATCATCATTATCATCATCATCATCATCATCATCATCATCAGCATCATCATCATCATCATCATCAGCAGCATCATCAGCATCATCATCATCATCATCATCATCATCATCATCAGCAGCAGCAGCATCATCATCATCATCATCATCATCATCATCATCATCATCATCACCCCCTCATCATGACCATCATCATCATCATCACCATCATCATCATCATAATCATAATCAGCATCGGCATCATCACCAGCATCAGCATCATCATCAGCATCAACATCGTCAGCATACTCATTCTCATCCTCATCATCATCATCCTCATCATCAGCGTCAGCATCAACATCATCATCATCATCATCATCATCATCATCATCAGCATCATCATCATCATCATCATCATCATCATCATCATCATCACCAGCATCAGCATCATCATCACCATCATCATCATCAGCAGCACCATCACATTCATCAGTATCAGCATCATCATCATCATCATCATCATCATCATCATCATCATCATCATCATCATCATATACATGATCATCATCATCAGCAGCAGCAGTATCAGAATCATCCACATCATCCACATCATCATCATCATCATCATCATCATCATCAGCATCATCATCATCATCCGCATCCGCATCCGTACCAGCAGCAGCATCATCATCATACTCATACTCATACTCATACCCATACTCATACTCATACTCATATTCAGATTCAGACTCATCATCAGCATCATCATTATCTGCATCATCAGCATCATCAACATCAGCGGCAGCATCATCAGCATCATCGTCAACATCATCGCCATCATCACCAGCATCATCATCATCACCATCAGCATCGTCATTAACGCCATCATCATCATCATCATCATCACCATCGTCACCGTCATTATCAGCATTATCATCAGCACCATCACCATCATTATCTACATGATCATCAGCATCAGCAGCAGCATCATCATCAGCAGCATCGTCAGCATCTTCATCATCATCAGCATCATCATAATTTGCCGCCATCTCTAGATTAACAGCAGCATCACCATCATCAGCATCATCGTCAATCTTCGTCATCAGCACCACCATCACCATCATCATCATCATCACCCTCGCAATCATCGTCATCGTCCTCATCATCATCATCAACACCATCATCATCATCATCATCATCATCATCACCATCATCATCATCATCATCATCATCATCATCATCATCATCATTATCATTATCACCGTCGTCATCAGCGTCATCGTCAACAGCATCATCACCATCACCCGCCACCACCACCATCATCATCATCATCATCATCATCATCTTCAGAATCACCATTAGCAGCGATATTTTTATTATCATCGTCAGCAGCATCATCAATATCATCATCAACATCATCAGCATCATTATCATTGTCATCATCAGCATCATCAACATCATCAGCAGCAGCATCATCATAACCATCATCACCATCCTCATCATCATCACCATCATCACCAGCACCATCACCATCACCATCACCATCATCATCATCATCATCATCATCATCACCATCATCATCATCATCATCATCATCCCGCTCACCATGCGGAGGCTTGGCCCAGCAGATCAGCCCCGTCCTGGGGAAGCCGGGCCGCCGCCGACACGAAGATCAGGGCCCCCCAGTTCTTCTCGAGCTCAACTTGCGGGAAGTGCAGTACCACCTTGGCGCCGGCCCAGGGCCAGGAGCACCCAGGCCTTCAGTGTCGCGAACCAAAACAGCACAGGACGGACTCGAGATCGGAGGAGGATCGAGGATGGAGGTTGTTAGACGTTCTTTGCCACGTTCAGCCTCCAGGGGGCTCCTCGGTGACAGGGCGCAACCTCAGGGGAGGTCTAGGGGACGATTGGCCCACGGACCCAGACCTCTGGCGTCGCCAAAAACAAACGCGAGGACGAATCGCTCCTACGTGCTTGGAACTCTGCGGGCCCGTTTCCGACCCTTTTAACAACTTGTGGTAAACCACCCGCGACGATGGAAACGAGTCTCAACGATGGGGTCGAGGAGGTCCAAAACCAAGGTCGCGACTTACCCTATGACTCACCACACCCATCTGCATCAAGTGACACGAGGAGCTGGTCCAATTTAGTATGGATGATGATAACGCAGACACCGTCATGTGGTGCACAAGCTACATACCATGCGCAAGCGCGTTGCGCCACTCATAGGACAGCCACAGACGGACTAGCAGCGAGGCCCCACAAGGATGGCGGGGCCCCACTCTGGCCTGCATAGCACCGTACGAAGCTGAACACCCTCAGCAGCCCTCGAAAGCGGTAACAGATTCGAAGTTCGCAGCCCTAGGGATGGCAACGCTAAGACGTCACTCAGCTGGCCCCCCAGCAGCTTCGAAAGTGGCGACAATCTCACAATTCGCAGCCCCCAAGGATGGCGAGGTCGAATCTGAATCCGCGTATGGCGTCGCTCCGCTGGCCACCCTCAACAGCCCCCGAAAGTGGCCTCAGCGTCGCAGTTCACACTCCCCCAGTGATGGCCAGCTCTAGTCTGAATCTGCGTATGACGTCACTCCGCTGGCCCCCCCAGCAGCCCTCGAAAGTGGCGACCCCGCTGCCCCCCCCCCGAGCATCCCTCGGAAGCGACGACAGGTTCACAATTCGCAGCCCCCTCTGATTGCGAAATAAAATTTCAATCCGCGGTTGACGTCAGTCCGTTGGCCTCCCAACAGCCCTCGAAAGCGGCGACAGTTTCGCACTTACCAACCCCACGGGGATGGCGAGGTCTTATCTGAATCGACGTATGACGTCACTCCGCTGGCCCCCCCCCAGTGACGGCGAGGTCTAAAGCGCGGACTTCTGGTGGGTCTCCAGGCGTGTGAGATAGCCCCTTCCCCCTGAGTCCCCCCCCAGCCATCTGGCAATTCAACCCCCACCTGGCCCTGGACGAGTCATTGACAGCAGGGCCTCACTGTCAAGGGCACGCTCCCGCACTGGCCGCCCAGGGCCATGTAAAAGCGGGGCCCCGCTGTCAGCGAGTGGACTCCAAGGCGTCGAGTCTCGCCGCTGACACCGAGGACCCGCTGCCGAATCCACACGGCCGCCTCGGCCGACCACGGTCCCCTTGACAGCGGGGCCCCGCGGTACACGAGAAACACCGGGACCCGCTCAGGGAAAGCGGCCGGGCTCGTCTGGGCCTCTCACTGTGTGAAGAGGGAGACGGCCGAGGGGTCGTTCCTATAGGGGGTCCGTAGGTAGGGGCGAGGAGTAGGACTCCTTTCCTGGGGCACTGCACAGTCAGCAGTGCACCGTTGTCCTTTAGCCAATGCCTGAGCCAATACAGTTGCGGGGCCAAGCCGTTTGGCAGTGGCGCCCCGCTGTCAACCCGGGAGACCTGCGCCGCCCGCCCCGCTGCGCACTGGCAGTGTGATGGGCCTGTTCTCCACCACCACCACCACCACCATAAGTTGGAGGAGGGAAGGAGGTGGAGGAGGAGGTGAAGGAGGAGGAGGAGGAGGAGGACGAGGCGGAGGAGGACCCCCTCCCCCCTTCCAATGTATGGTGGTGGTGGTGGAAGACAGGCCCATCACACTGGGCCCCACTGTCAAGCCGGGCAGAACACGGGAGCCGCCTGTTCCTACACTACTTGCGATCGGTCTGATACGACCGCGACCAGATGCAAGAGAAGTGCGCGGAGCAACTCGGCGCAGAGATCCCCGCGTGCGCATCTCGTGTCGTAACACATAGAGGACCTTTTTCGCAAAGAGTGAAGCCGCCAGCCCCCCCCCTCGGGTTTCACTTTCCCTGCGGGGCTTTCGAGCAAGGAAACTGCGTAGCGAGAATTCGCGCATACGTCAAAACCACCAGGGAAGAAGAAGAAAAAGACGAATAAGAAGAAGAAGAAGAAGAAGAAAGATAACAACAGCAACAACAACAACAGCTAAAACAACAACAACAACAACAACAACAACAATAACAACAACAACAACAACAACAACAACAACAACAACAACAACAACAACAACAACAACAACAACAACAACATCAACAGCAACATCAACAACAACAGCAGCAATAACAAACATAACCACAACCACAATCACAACCACAACCACAACAACAAGAACAATAACACGCTCGCACGGCCACGCGAAGTCCCCACTCCTGGACCGCCTTCTTTGCTTCGCCCGCACAAATGCCATGGCGAGCCCGATGAGTAGCAACAAGTCCCTGCTCCTGGACCGCATATTTGATCTTTTTATTGCCTGCGTCCAGAGTCCACTTGGCCCCCCCGCGCACCCCGCCCCGCAGCCGGAGCCAACAGGAAGGTGCACGCGAGAATTGGAGCTGGGACGATTTCACAGCAAGATTCGGCTGGGACTGGGGGGGGGGCCGATGAAAAGGAACGATCGAACCTGAATTATGTACTTCAACCAAGAGCGTACGCCAAAAAACCAGCGGAAGAACGTAGAGGTAGAGGCTCGCTCGCTTGTGACACCTGCACATTCCCGCCCAGGTCCGAAATCGTCTGACAACGGCGCCACACTGTCGACAGGGGAACGCGCGCCGTTCGCCAGCCACGCGTTGACAGCAGGGCCCCGCCGTCAAATGCACCCCTCCGCCTGTGCCCCACGTCCTTTCACAGCGGCGCTCCGCCGTCATCAGGCGAACGTGTTCTTATTCGGCGTTTCGGCATTGGGCTGAAGGGGGGGGGGGGGCGAACAAAAAAACAATCACCAGAGAAATCTGCACGGTCTGCCCGCCCCGCGTTGACAGCGGGGCCCGGCTGTCGTCAAAGGCGCATTCCCGCCCAGGCCGTTCTGGGCCCTGTGCGAGCGAAGCCCCAATGTCAACACGGAAGCCTGTTTCTTTCCCTCTTCCGATGGTACTCCACTTCGTTCTAATTGGAACGACCCTTGCCCCTTAAAGGCACCCCGCAACCTGGCGCGCATCGCGTCAGCGGCTCCGTTTCTGCCTCTGCTTGTCTCGCGCGGTTCGCCAGTTCTGGAACCAATATTTCAGCACCCTCCGTTTGCCCGCTCGCACTGGTCTCGCGGCATCAATTGCGCGCCCCGTCCTTCCCATTCTGTCCTCGGGACACGCGTCGGGTTCTCTCGGTGCCTTCCGCAGCCGTCGACGAACCGTGATGACGCCGTCCCAACCTTGGTTGGCAGCCTCGTTCGGCCATGTTGGGCTCCTCCTTGTGCTATGGTAGCTTTGTTTGAAAATATGTACGACTACTTGTTTGCCGTCGCAACACCTGCTCAAGAAGCGGGAACGCCAGCTTGAGCTGAGAGGTCCAGATAACCGAAGAATTGAATCATTTGACACGACGCGGCCAGATTTAAGCGCACTGCCTGTCGGACGCATACATTGATAACAAATTGGGACACATTTGTGCGGCAACGACAGGATGACTACAACGACGACGGAAAACGACGCAGAGCGACGGCGACGTCGCAACACCAAACAAAAACGATTCAGCAACGACGCGCGACTACAACGAAGCAGCATATACACGGGGGGTACTATAGTTTGGCCATGAGACGTCAAGCTTTGACACCCCCGACGCCCCGTATAATATGAGCGACAAATTGTTGGCCAGGGAGCGGTCCGAAGCAGATGGGCTCGTACCCCGTAACAGTATAATATAATATAATACAATATAACCTAACACATTATGATGTGATATAATACAACAGATTGAAATGCAATATAGTGTGACATCTACAACACAACTTAATACACTATAATACAATACAATATAAGATAATATGGCGCAATATAAAGTAATTGAATGCCCTGTCGTATAATAGAACATGATATGATATAATGTAATCGAATATGATACAATATGATGCAATAAAGCATCATGTAAACTGAAATGGCTTATAGTGTAAAATAATGGAATGCAATATAAAGCAATCTAATGTAATGCGATATATATATATATGATGCGATATCATATGGGTGACCACCTTATAATGTGATACTACGTATTATAGCATAGCATAACTTTTTCAACAAAAAATAATACCATATAGTACGCATTATAATATGATATAACGCAATACAATACACTATATTACAATCCGATAGATTACATGTAATGTCATATAATATACTAAAGTACGATATGGTATGATGTTATATATTCTGTTGTAATATAACGCTGTAAAAAATATGAACGAACAGACTATATTATAATATGATAGAATAGAGTATATGACACAATAAGATAGAATAGAGCATAATAAAATATAAAAGAAGTCTCACACAATAGAATACATAATATAACATAATAAACAAAATAACATGGACTGTGATATGTTATAGTAATATATAATATAACAGATGGAACAATGTGCGAATTACTCCGTCCCATGAAAATAAGCCTCGGAATTATTCAAATTTGAACCCATCCACAGCTCAAGCACTCCGCATGGGTCACTTGAGATTGGCAGAGTCATGTTCGTCATCATCGTTGTCATGCCGATGTCAAACGCAATGCTTTATTGCTTTCGTTCTCGCTTTGACGCGGCGTGGCCCAGGGAATCCTTATCCAACGCTGTCGATATTGCTTCGCTTGCCGGCCATGCCAGACCTTACGAAGGCTCGCGACTCCGCATCAGGGCACTTTGGCATCCTAATCGGTCGTCCACGGCACGCGGGACCAGCTATGCAATTCTCCGCCGATGGTCAAAAACTTTAGTACCCAGCAAGTAAATTCGAAAACAACAGCAAGGTACGTCGTCGACGGCAACAGGAACGACGTCGATGGACGTGCCCCAATTCGGAAAGGCGTCGTGGAATGAAGCCCTGGAGGCGCCGTAGTTTACATCGGTGTCGGCGGATGTGGCGTAAGCCTATGAATCAAAATCCACGTGTGACGTCACTCTGCTGGCCCCCCAGCAGCCCCTCAAAGACGGCGAGGTCTAATCTGAATCCGCGAATGATGTCACTCCGCTGGCCCACCCCCCAGCAGCCCTGGAAAGTGGCCTCAGCGTCGCAGTTCGCAACCCCCCAGGGATCCGAGTACGAATGTCACTCAGCGTCGCAGTTCGCAACGTTGAGGTCGAATGCGAATCCGCGTAGGACGTCACTCAGCTGGCCCCCCTCAGCAGCCCTCGAAAGTGGAGACAGCTTCGCACTTCGCAGCTGCTCGATTCGCACACCCTGGACGTCAAGCAGAACATGCTGGCATCAGATGCAACGAGACGTAATTTTCGCCTCTCCGCCACGCTCAGAGCAGAACAGCCACACGAAAAAATAAGCCCGTTAAAGGGTATGGGAGGACCTCCCGATTTATGCTGGTGTCGAGCAATGGTCGCTGCTTGTGCGATCTAGGGCCCTTCGAACCACAGAGCGCCATCCACACCAGGCGTGCCTGCAGCACAGCACAACAGCAGAGGTCAGCAGAGGTACCCGCGATGGACAGAGGAGGAGCCTGGAGCCAACAACAAGAGCATAACGATACGAAAGAACCAAATGTACAAACGACTACAGAAATAACGAAGCACATCGATTATGGAAACTGGAAACTGCTTCACCAAAATCGCAATGATAGCAACAGCATGACGCCAGAACGAGATACCGCTGCCACTTCAGAACTGAAGAACAGAGGGTCCGCACTGGGAAGAATACGGCATCTTGTGCTGGCTTACGGCTACAGCCAGACCCTCTGAGAGCGATGCCAGGTACAGGCAATTCAGAACGTTCCGGCGGCCACCCTCCTGGCAGCAGAGGCAAACATCTGAAAAGGTCGCACGTGGGGTATCCGCCACTGTGCCCCCTGGCACGTCAAGGCGTGAGACTTCTGAAGAGTACCCCCTCTCCTCATCTTCGGTGGCAACTCATGGGAGCCTCCCATACCATCTTGTCGGCTCTTGCGAATCGACGCTAGTCGACGCTAAATCGACGCTAATCGACACTAAATCGACGCTAATCGACGCTAGCCGACGCTAAATCGGCGCTATCTCATCGACTCCCAGACGCGAATCGACGCTAATCGACACTAAAGACGGAATTAAGAGGGTACTACCAGGCTCCCATGATTTGCCACCGAACCACCGTTTCTTTCCAAAGCCAACATAGCCGAAAATGTGATCAAGAAAGGCATCGTTTGAGAAACCTGAGCCAAAATCCCAGAACTTTGCCCAGGCCTCTTAAGCATAACTGCATAGACTGCAAGAACCTACTGTTCAGGGTCCACGCTGGCAAACACTATGTATCATTGCACCGGCCTCGCAGACGTGCTGCAGCCTCGCACCGGGTGTTTGCCCGAAACGGCGAGCGAAAAACGAAGTGAATTGTTCGGGTGGATTATTTTGTTGGTCTTCATTCCTGGCCCAAAAAAACCGCACGAACACACACCTCTCGAAATCCGGAACGAAATTCTCCAGGACACTCCAGGCCCATCCTGTCGTTTTCCGAACGAGATCCACTCTACGATGTTGGCACCATGACACGGTAGAGTTGCTCCAAGTTAAGGAGCCGAACTCTATACACCCACGCTGTCTCCGACCCCGCACTGAAACTGGCACAGGGCCCGACACGTGGAAACCCTCGAGTTTCAGTACTTTTCTGGTGCTCAAAACTACTGCTGGTGATCGAGGCTGAAGTCAGTTGGATCATCATAACTCGGCTACACGTAAGAGTGACCCCGGGTAAGAGTGACCTTTGGTGCGCGACTTCTTGGGGACCGCGGGGGGACCAAACCTGGGCGCGCAAGCAGCTGCTACTGCTTCGTTTTCACCCATCTGGGGACCCATCTGTGCCCGCACCAAAAGTCACTCCAGCGGAAGGTCACTCTCACGTCTAGTCGAATAACACTATGCCCGGCACGCGAAAACTGGCACAGGTTCCGACACGCGAAAACCCTCGAGTTTCAGTACTCTTCTGGTGCTCAAAACTATATCTGGCGATCAAGGCTGAAGTAAGTTGGAACATCATGACACTAGGCAAGACTCCTGCAGAGCACCCCCTCCCATCCTCTCGCGCAGGCGCGCGCACCAGCGCCCCCCCAGGCCGAGGGCCCCTGGCGCCCCAGCGCCTCCGTGGCCCTCGCGGAGCGCCCGACAGCATCGAGAGACCCCGAAATCAGGTCGGGCGCGTTCCCCGACGGGCTGATTTGGGACAAAAAATAAAAAACAATCGAAAGATACCCCCGAAATGCGCAAGAGTAGTGAAAAGAATCGTCCCCAGACTGTCTTTTCCACTCTTTTTTAATATCCCTCCTGTAAAGGGATAGGCCCGACTGAACCCTAAAACGCCGAGAACTTCGAGTCAAAAAAAACCAAATAACCTTCGGGGAAACCAAAATTTAAACGCCCGAAATGGGTACGGAAAAATGGGCACAATGCCCAACAACAAATGCTGTCCCAAACCAACAGCGGCCGCTGTTGGGCAGGCGACCTTCTGTCTCAAATGGCCAGAGGCCGTGGCGACACCAACAGCGAGTCCTGTTCAAAATGAACAAGAACTGCTGTCGGTCTTTGTACCCAATATTTCCGTACCCATTTCGTCCCGACAAAAGGTACTGATACCGCTACTTCCCGGACCTCTCCTGGGGTGCGTTCTGACCGGGACTTCGAGGCGAATCTAGCGGTGGCGGCGAAAGCCTCCCAGGAGGACCACAAAAGGGGAAACGAGAGAAGGGTAGCAGTATAGGTACCTTCTCCTCCTCTAAAGGAGGCCTCAAGAAACCCCGAACTTCGAAAGTCAAACAAGCCAACTGAGAGCCCCCCTTGAGGCTCTAGACGGCCCAGGACGGCCCCAACAGAGCCCCGAGCTTGCCTGGGATGGCGTCTAAAGGGACCCAGGACGGACAAAAAGAAGGCTCCACGACGCCCAAGAGAGCCACCAGACGGGCCCAAGAGACTCCCCAAAGACCAGCATGGCTTATGTTGCTCCCGTCGTTTGACCTCATCCCAGAAATAATTTCGAGAGCCCGGAAAAAAGTGTCAAAACAGTGTCGACACAGTGTCAGACGAGTGTTTCCCAGGGCCCGACAAGTGAAAACCATTGAATTTCGGTATTTGGGGGGGGCTCCAAATTCTTGCTCGTGATCATGGCTAAATAGGTTTTGTGTTTGATGACGCGCCCCTGATCAGTTTGCCACAATATGACCAACTACGAAGATCCAAGATAACAGCACACAGACTCACATCATCCTGCAGTAACTGAGCAAATCGTGCTCGCTTGCAAGGAACACGCATAAAATGATCTCCAACACCATTGACAAAATGTATCGCTCTATCGACGGCAAGTACAGTCGAGGTGGATTGGAGAGGACACGCGAGAGGACACAAGACTCTTTCGATGGCCACATTGCCAGTGGAACGTGGAGGGCATGGGTCGCGAAACACAGGGCACAAGTTCTTTGGGCAGGGTCGACCTACTAATCAAACTCGACTGTAGGTTGGAACATCATAAATCGGCGGTGGACAAACCTCCCTTTAGTTAACCTCCCCTAGTGGAAACGGCCGAGGACCGACGGGCATGGACCCGCAAAAATGACGGCCGCGACGCCCTCACGCGAACCGAAAACGGCCGATTCCCTAGTCGACGTGTCAGGGTAGGAGGTCTATCAACCTCCGAATAAAGCAGGGCACCGAGACGGCCCAGGAACGAGCGAACGAACGCACGCACGAACCGCCTCTGCGGGACAGCCGCCCCGGGCGCCCCGTCGAGACCGGGCGAGGGGGGGCCGCGGCGCCCCTCGGGAGCTTCCGAGGTGCACGGCCCAAGAGCGCCCCGAGGCAGCCCGATACAGTCAGGTCGGGCGTGTCCCCCTACAGGCGGATGTTCGAAGAAAGATTAAGAACTGCCCAAGAATATCCAAAAAATACCCAAAGATGGTAAAACCGATAATCCCCCGACAATTTGCTTCTGTAGAGGAACAGGCCCGACTTAACAATAGGGCCCCAAGACCACCGAAGAGGCCCCAGGGACCCCCAGAGACTGTCCCGCGGGAGCGCAGGACAGTTCCAAGACAGCCCAGAGAAGCCCCAGGAGAGCTCCTCGGGAAATGGGGGACCAATTGTCGGATGTCACGGCCTTCCAGGCGGTGGTCCAAGAGTCGTCACACGGGGAGGTTCGGTTCGCTGGCAAGGTGGCGGATTTGCCGCAGGCACCTGGATAACTTACCACGCGTGGATAAAAACTGAAGCACAATCAACGAACCTTGGTGGAACAACTTTCGGCTACGAAAAGCGAGCAGAAGAAGATAATTGGCCCTTCCCACGAAGCCCAGCTCCTCCGAGAAGCCCAGATTGCAGAGCAGGTGCGAGAGCCTCTTCTGCATCGCCTTGTGCTCGTGAGGATAGTCGAGCATGAAATCCACGTAGATCTGCGCGCACTGCTGCGCGATGCGCTTGTCCGAGCCACCAATCATGATCTCGCCTATCGCGTCGATGCACTGGTACACAGATGCGCTCAGAGCTCGATTCCTGCAAAAGATCAAAAGGAAGACCAAGTGAACAAAACAACAACAACGACAACAACAACGACAACAACAACAACGACAACGACAACAACAACAACAACAACAACAACAACAACAACAATCATTTAAGACTGGGGACACTCCGTTCTCACCAGTGCCAGGGTTTTCATAGGAGGCGGGCAATACCCCCACTTTGTGGGGGGGCCGGTTCAAGCTCTACCAAGTTTCCAAACGACTCTTCGCCACCACCCACACCCAGCTTCCCGCCCTATGACGTTCGGACACTTCACTTCGTGGCCTGCGGACGACCTTGGCTACTACACTGGCGCATGGTTACAATGACTTCTTGTGGTAACATCTTGTGGAAACTAGTTTAGTATACGACTTATACCCCTGTTCCAACAATGGGCACGTGTACCGGATGCTCATGTAACATAAATGTTGGAAAACCATTGGTTTTTTTAGGATTCGGACAGCGCGCGCGGGTGGAAATTTTGAAAAGTCGTGAGGTGTTTTTCGAGGACCTACGGTGCGATTCGTGTGATTTTATGATGCGCGGTGCTAAAATTCTTAAGAACCCAATGGTTTTTGGAGATTTCGGTGTGCGCGCGCGAAGAAAAAACGAATGTGTCCCGCATGGTATTATTTGACAGGGATGATGGCCCTGGCAGGTGCGCAACCGTTGTCGCAGAAGTTCGAAAAAGTTGCTCGCAAAAGCCCGTTTGACAGAAATGTTTAAAAAGTGTTGGGTTTCCTACGAATCCGCAAGAGCGCGCGGGATGAGATTTTGACATTTTTTTGTTGAAAAACCATTGGTTTTTTGATGTTTTTATGTTAAAATCGCTCCGAACACTAAGCTTTTGGAAGGATTTCGTCTTGCGCGCGCGAATGTCCACTTTACCTTATTTTTTGCAAGGGATTCTTGAAATTTGATTATATTAGAACAAGAAATGTCATTTTATAGTGTTTTTTGCAAGGGAAAACGGATTACAACAAAACAACCGGATCTGGATCACATCGTTTTACCTGAGGCTTCCTCACGAAAATGATGAAAATGTAGCTGCGGCCTAGGCGGCGCAGGGGGGGCGTGCACCAGGGGGCCCAACAATAATTATTCTTTAGAATAAATAATGTTCAACAACAACAACAATAACAAGAACAACAACAATCATTTTAAGACTGTTCGCCCTTATCTGCTCGAGTGTCGAATAACGCGAATATTCCAAACCCTCGATACCTGCCGTTTTCGTCTTCAATCGAACCCCTTTTGGGGGGTATACCTTTCTTCCCTGCAGGCCGGGCCCCGGCAAGCGGCGGGGCGGCCGCGGACCGTCGGCCTGGCCAGCGGCAGCGCTGATCGGCGGGGCGGCCGCGGACCGTCGACCCGACCCCAAGAGGGACGGACAGGGGACCGACGACGACGACGACGACGACGACGACGACGACGACGACGACGGCAACGACGGCGACGGCGACGACGACGACGAGCGAAAGCGAGAGCGAGAGAGAACGACAGCAGAGCCACGAAGGACACGAAGTAGGCCACGAAGGGCGACAGCGGGGACACGAAGGGAATGCGTATGGGGCCACGAAGAGCGCGAACGAGCGTGGGCCACGAAGGGCAGATAATGCGGGGCCACAGAAGGCAACGATGGGGCCACTGAGGGGAGCACCTGGGCCACGTAGGACAATGAGGGGGCCACAAACGGCGACAGCGGGGCCGCGAAGGGCATGCACATGGGGCCACAACGGGCGCGAACGAGCGGGGGCCACGAAGGGCATACGTTTGTTGGGCCGCGGAGGGTACGGACGGGGCCACTGAGGGCAGCAACGGGAACACGAAGGGCAGCGAGGGGGCCACGAAGTGCGACAGCGGGGCCACGAAGGGCATACATATATATGGGGCCACGAAACAAAGCGAGGGGGCCACGAAGGGCTGCAACGGGGCCACGAAGGGCTGCAACGTGGCCACGAAGGGCAGCGAGGGGGCCACGAAGGGCTGCAACGGGGCCACGAAACAAAGCGAGGGGGCCACGAAGGGCTGCAACGGGGCCACGAAGGGCAACGAGGAGGCCACGAGGGGCTGCAACGGGGCCACGAAACAAAGCGAGGGGGCCACGAAGGGCTGCAACGGGGCCACGAAACAAAGCGAGGGGGCCACGAAGGGCTGCAACGGGGCCACGAAACAAAGCGAGGGGGCCACGAAGGGCTGCAACGGGGCCACGAAGGGCAGCGAGATCCCGATTCCTAGGTAATCTGTGAAGGAGTCCTAAGCGTGAGCGCGACTCCTGGGTGCCTGGGTGTCGGGAGCGCGGCGCTGGAGTAAATTGCAAGAAATTCCAACGCAAGGGCGCTATTCTTCGGTAAATTGCAAGCAAGTCTCCAGCGAGAGCGCGACTCCAGAGCGCAGGAGGAGCGATTCCTGCATAAATCGTAAGGAAGTCCCAAGCGAGAGCGCGATTCTTCAATAAAACGCGAGGAAGTCTCGGGCGGGAGCGGGGGTCCTGGCTAAATTGTGAGGAAGTCTCAGGCGGGAGCCGTTGTTGTTGTAACCCGGGGGCCAGGGGGCCAGTTTGAGCAGGAAGACTTCCTTGACAAAAAAACAAGGTGCGAGCCCTGGGGGGGCACTTCAATTGAAAAAATCAATGTGCACTGGTGGGGGAGGATCAACAATAATTATTCTTTAAAAATGAGAGTTCAACAACAACAACAACAACAATAACAACAACAACAACAACAACAACGACAACGACAACGACAACGACAACGACAACGACAACGACAACGACAACAACAACTACAACAACAACGACAACGACAACAACAACAACAACAACAACAACAACAACAACAACAACAACAACAACAACAACAACAACAACAAAAAGGGAGAACCACATCAAGATCGGCAGCAACAGGTTCTGGAGGATGACGACGACGAGAAGCATCAGTGGTTGCGCAAGGGGGCCAAGAGCATGAGTGGGTGCTCTTGGACTACACCCAGTCAAGAGCCCAACGGGTTCCGCTGGGCCCTGCAGGTAACCCAGGGAAGGAGGAACGGGGCCTCGGGAGGCAGGAGGGTCCCAAGGGGGCTCCGCCAGCTTTCCCATAGACGTCCACGCAACAGCAACACCAAAACCCAGCCGAGCCGACGGCAGAATCGAACCCGATCGAAGCTGGCAGATCAGAAAAAGCCCAGAAGGCCCTGACAACGCAGCAGCCGATCAAACCGAACCGACCGAATGCGGCAGACGACGGCACGGCAGATCGAATGTGAGCGTCTTCCTGCTCGGCGTTTCGGCACTGGGCGAAGGGGAGGGGGCGGGGTCTGGCTCCGGACCTCTGCTTCATATGACTGGTTGCAGCAGTGCGTCCTGTGGGGGAGACTCCACCTGCTCGAGACAGGGCCCCAAAAAACCGCCAAGGTCTGCTCCAGGGGGGAGGGGGGGGGTGCGAGGGCCCGCGCCGATCGGCGCAACCATGAGTGAGGAAACGATGGCAATCGAGTCGTGGACACCCTATGGAGGCCTGGAAATGGGCACCAACACCAACACAGGGGGTTGCCTCCACAGGGGGAAGGTGATCCTAGATTTCGGTGTTGGTGGTAATATTTCGGCCACCTTGGAAGCCAGAATATTACCACCATCACCGAGATCGGGATCTTCTTCCCTCGATGGAGGCAAACTGCCGATATTGGTGCTGGTGTCAACCTCTAGGCCTGCGAACCCTCGCTTCTCGCGGGCGCGAGGCATGCCCGCATCCGCGGCCTCGCGGCGAGGGCTCCTCGGCCGGAGCCCCCCGCGGCTGCCTTGGCGGGGCTGCGCCCGTGGGCAGCGCGCCTCTCGGTGCCCAGATCGCGAGGGCACGGAGAGTGGACACCGTCGGGGCGTTGACCTAAGGAACCCAAAATAAGGAACGCGGAGCATTTTCTCCAGAAGTTAACCTTCGACGTCCCACCGAAAACCTAAGGAAAACCTGCGGCAAACTGTGAAACAATCAAGGAACACCGAGCCCCTCCCAAACGAAAAGGGTTCCTTCTTCAGCGCCCCGACTGTACGCTCGATGGCAACCGCACGCACTCGTGTCGGGGGGACGTACAGTCGACCCGCATCAGAAGGGCGCACGATGAGGATGCAAGTGCCCCGGAAGGCCATCTCGAGCCTTCCGAGCGGGGCGCGGCCAAGGAAAGTGGCCGAGGATGGGCCGAGGAGGGAAGGCTGCAAGGGTACCCTTGGGAAGGTGGCCCATCCTTACCATGCGCGTCGACTGTAAGGCTCGGGTTAGGGGGACTCGGTTTGGCCTGACGGGGCCATCATGGAAATGGCGCGACACAATCTGAAATTTGACGCGAACCCCCGCTGCAGACATTCCACGAAAACTGGACTGTCAAAATCCAGGACGCGCTCGTCAAAAGGCATTGGCAAACCAGAGTTCTGGCTTGCTCGAGTCTTACGTTTCCCCGACAGGGGTCCACCCAGATGGACTCTCGCCTGTCCCCGTGGACGACGACGACGACGACGACGACGACGACGACGACGACGACGACGACGACGACGACGACGACGGCGACGGCGACGGCGACGGCGACGGCGACGGCCGAAAAAAGCCGCGCAAAAGGCCTCTCGAGAGGCTCGAGCCTCGAAGGCCTCTCGACAGTCGGAGAGCCCTCGACGCCGTCGGCTGCGGCGCAGCTCGTTCCGTGCTCCCCCGAGGCTCCGCAGCAGCACGCGCCGCAGCAGCTGCAGCGCCGAGGGGCGTAGGGCCGGCTGGTCCATGGCGCTCCGGATGTGCGTCACCTCTTGGGGAGGCAGACAAGTGCGATAAAAAAATACACTTGCTCTGAGTTGTTTTGTTATCACACTTGTTCGTAATGTTTTATCACACTTGCGTTTTTATCACACTTGCTCGGAGCAAGGTTTTATCACACCTGTTTTTATCACAATTGTGTTTTATCACACTTGTTTTTTATCACACTTGCTGGGAGGGCTTCGTCGGAAGGATCCGGGAGGACGAAGCACCCTTTGGGGAGGGCTGCTGCACCAGGTCCGGCCGGACTCAACGGGACGAAGCTGGATCCGGCCGCGGAGTAGGCGGGAGCGTGCCGGATCGGACGGGATCAAGCTGGATGAAATCGGATGAAGCCGGATTGGGGCAGCGCATGGGAGCCTCCGATACCATCTTGCTGGCTCTTGCGAATCGACGCTCAACGACGCTAGTCGACGCTAGATCGACGCTAGACCGATGCTGATCGACGCTCATCGACGCTAGTCGACGCTAATTCGGCACTATCTCATCGATTGCCAGACGCAATCGACGCTAGTGCACTCTAAAGACAGAAGTACGAGGGTACACAAGGCTCCAATGATTTGCTCGCAAACGTAACCAGGACGTCGAAGAAGGTCGTCTGCGCCAGCGACGCCGCCGCACCCCTCTCGCGCCGCCAGAATCTATGCCCACATCCCCTGCCGCGGGTGTCCGCGGGGGCCCAGTGAGCAGTTGATGCAAATCTCTGCAGCCAACGCGGGCGAGCAGATATCCACATCCGCCACTCCACGAGATCCCAGGGCATGGCGCCGAAGCGGTGGGCCTGGGCATGCGAGGGGGAACGATGGGAGGGGGAACGGTGGGAGGGGGGCCAGCTCGGGGAGGGAGGCATCGCCCTGGCCTCGGCGAAACGCCGCCGACAGATCGGCGACGAGGCCCCCCGACAGGGAAACCGAACGCTCCTGGGCGGGGCGGGTCGTGGGGCCCCCACCATCGATCGGTGGGCGAGCGGGGGAGGGGGGGAGGAGGGAGGAGGAGGAGGAGGAGGAGGAGGAGGAGGAGGAGGAGGAGGAGGAGGAGGAGGAGGAGGAGGAGGAGGAGGAGGAGGAGGAGGAGGGAGGAGGGAGGAGGGAGGAGGGAGGAGGGAGGAGGGAGGAGGAGAGGAGGAGGAGGAGGAGGAGGAGGAGGAGGAGGAGGAGGAGGAGGAGGAGGAGAGGAGGAGGGGAGGAGGAGGAGGAGGAGGAGGGAGGAGGGAGGAGGGGGAGGAGGAGGAGGAGGAGGAGGAGGAGGAGGAGGAGGAGGAGGAGGGAGGAGGAGGAGGAGGAGGAGGAGGAGGAGGAGGAGGAGGAGGAGGAGGGGGGGGGCACTCCCCCCCTGGGCACTCCCCCCCCCCACACCGTGCCCCGGAACAGATTCCGGCAGCGCAGGCCTCTTCTTGACGGGCTTCGGGAGGGCTCCCCGCTGCTCTTTCCCGGCGACGGCCTCCTCGCGCGGGGGGAAAGGGATGCCCGTGCGCTCGGCGAGGCGAGCAGAAACTGGGGAGGCGACGAGCATACGCCGACACCGGCTCTGGCCACGGAGACTTCTGGGACCAGGGCGGGTACATGTGCCTGCCTGCCCTGGCCACGGCGGCCTATGTGGGGCTGGGCTGGGATCGGCGTCGGCGTATGCTAAGCCTTGACGGAGCGGGGGGGAGGCGGCGGGCACTCTGGACGCAGTTCCAGAACTGCGTCTGAAGTGCCCGCCGATTTGTGTTTGCAGTCTTGAGTCTCATCCTTCCATACACAAGCCACCTACACAAAGATACCACCCTTTTACCATGGGGGGGCGCAAGACCCCGAGATGAACGCCTCACAGCTGGGCGCCAGCAACCTGCGGTGGTTCTTTTGGGTTGCAGTATCCTGGGGGATGGTACCCACCAGCAGTGGCTCCAAGGCGGCGGCTTGAGCATCAACCAAATGCTGCTAGACAGCCGATGAAAGTGGTGCCGAGTTCTATGAGCACTCGCGCCCCTCTCGGTCCGACGAGAGGGAGAAGGCGGGGAAAGCTGCAGTGATTAGCGCCTGCCCTAAACACAGCCTCAGCAGAGCCCAACAAGAAAGCCGAACCAGGCCTCAGAAAAGGCTCCAGGACGGCTCCAGAGTGGCGCGAGGCAGGTCCAAGGGTTCGGGCACGTCACAGCCCCGAGCCCTCCCATCAACCACAAGCGTTCCACTATCGCGAGTCCTGGAAACTACGGCGTGCAGCCCACAGCCTTCTGAAATGGATCGTCATTTGCCATGCTTTCGCACAGACTGGCAAGTGCCGGGCCAAACTGCTCTGCGCGATGAACCTTCGCGTCTGCAATCTCCGCAGCATCCACCAACGTGTCCCTATTGGCATCGACTGCACTGATGAAACTGAGATAGCTAGCGAAGAATCCCTGGTCCCAACCGCTGGGTTCCCCATGCTGCTTGTAGACTGAAGTGCCTGTACCTGAACCTTTTCCATGGTCGAGATAAAGTCTCTCCGTATCGATGAAGCACGAATCATTCACAGAGTCCAGGGCAGCCAGGAAGACTCCATTAAAACCTTCCATGAAATTACTGTCCTCCTTCTTCTCAAGTCGTATGGAAAAGAAACCCAAGTCTTCCAGGCCTGATGAACCCTCAGCCGTGGCGATAAACATGCTGTGCATCGCAGACGACACGGAGTTGCCAGGATCGTCTGTACACACGAATCTCTCGTATCGATCCCAAAGAGGAAATTCGTGTCGGAGGCGTCGGAATTCAAGCATTCCCATCTCTGCAAAATTGACTTCGCCGCCGGTCCTCTGACGGAATGCGTCGTACTCCGCCTGGTTGAACTCTGGCAGGCCGCATGGGGGAGGGGTCACGCCCACCTCGAAGAAAGATGTGACTTTGCACGGCAAGGATTTCAAAGGTAATGGTTGCAAGAGCACGGCTGTTGCCTGCAAGAACACCCACCCACCTACCTTCCAGTGCCTCTTGCGGGCACTCGTCACTGCCCGTCTGTAGCCGCCAATCTCAAATCCGGAGGACTCTTCCCGCAAGTATATAGTTCCAGGATCGTTTTGCACGAAAGCCACCATTTGGGCACCAAACGTAGTTGGAGACGCGTTGTCGACGACAATGACTGCATTATGTGGATGGAAATGTCGTACGGCGTTGTAGGACTGAGTGAAAGCGTCGAAGGACTCATTGCTCTGAATGTTGCCCACAAGGGCAAACACAAATTCGTGGTGCACGTTGTGGCCGTTGTCGTCATTGCGAGCCTTGGCTATCGGCTTACAATCTGTTGCCTTGAACTCATAGCGAAAGTCATTTGTTTCACAAAAGAGATATGATACTTTTGCGTGCATATCGCATGCGAACTTTGTCGTCGGAGTACACAGCATCGACGAGCTTGGAGAAGCTCCACACATCCGACAACGCATCCAACTCAGCCGTCGCCTTCGTCTGCAAAGCTCCGACCTGAACTGCAAAGGTGAACAATAAAGCGGCCACCGAATGCGGCCACATAGTCCGGAACATCGCCCACGCGCTGATTACAACAAGCGGGAGAATGGGTCAAGTACAGTGACGGTGTCCAAATTATGAACTTGAGCCTTGAGCCAAAATGGTTACGGAAATGCCCGCCGCTTTTGCGGGCCCGAGCGTTCTGGCTAAGGAGCCCACAGAGGACGCACGCGCCCAGCTGTGTATATGAACACGGCCCCTCGATCCGCGAGACCGGCCGCGCTGTACGAACATTTGCGTAATGCGCACTCACGAAACCAGCGTGGATTCATGTACGTGTACGTCCTTCTTTCGCTAAATGCTTAACGCCTTCTGCCGTCCATTGACTCGCGCTGGAGCGGCCGCGAGTTGCTCCAATTCTCTGGAGATCTCTGGATTAAACTAAACTTACCCGGATGTATCTCGATTTACCTGGATTCACCTGGATTTATCTCGATTTATCTGGATCTGCCTGGATTCATCTGGCTCGATCCCCATGTGCCGCTCGGCAAATCGTCGAGAAACCCTTACAGGGACTCTTGCGCTCCCGACTGGCCAGCAGGAGCGGGCAGCAGGCGCGCGGGCCTCAGAGCTGCCTGGGGCGGCCAGGAAGGCGCCTCGGCACGGGGCCCGCACCGCCGATCCCGCGGCCCCACGCCGTGGAAGCGCGCCCGCCGCGCCGCCGCGAGCACACGGGCCGGCACCCCCGGGGGCGCCACCCCTCCGCGGCGCGTCTCGGGCCGGGCGGGTCCGGAAGGATCCGTCGAAGCCTGCGCGCCGCGCCAAGGCCCGGCGGGAGGCGCCCGCCACCCGCGAGGGGAGGCGGGGGCGGAGGCTCTCCGAGAGCCCCAGACAGTACGCCTCCACCAGCCCTGGAGGCCCCCCGGGAAAGCCTCGAAGAACCCTCAAGTTGGGGGGTTTTTCAAACTCAATGGTCTTTCCCCCCAGATCACACGGGAGATGGGGGAGCTTGGGGGGGGTGGGGGGGGTTCGGGGGCCCGACGCTTAAAATCAGAAGACAGCTCGCCGCTTGGGCCCTACTGCCAGCCCAAACGGCAAGCATACATCAGGCGTACCCCCGCACGCATCTGGATGCCCACGCGTCGTCGTGGCACTACTCGCGGGCCCCCAGCACGGTGAGTGCGTTGACGGAGTCCTGGCCGTACCAGGGGCACACATAGGTTGCGCCCTCGGCCGCCGAAAATAAAACCGCCCCCTATCGGTTGCGCCATAAATTGCGCCCTTAGCCGTCGAGAAGAAAATCGTCTCTTATTGGTTGCGCCATAGGTTGCGCCCTCGGCCGCCGACACTAAACCGTCTCCTACTGGTTGCGCCGTAGGTTGAGCCCTCGGCGGCCGAGAACAAAGCCGTTTCCTATATGTTGCGCCATCGGTTGCGCCCTCGGCGGCCAAGAGTAAAACCGTTTCCTATCGGGTGCGCCATAGGTTGCGCCCTCGGCGGCCGAGATTCGGGAATCGGCGAACCTGGGGCCCAATGTAACATCGACACGTTTTCGTTGCCTGTACTTCTCGCGAGGGACCCGCTGCCACCACAATCCTGGTGTGTTCGCAGATTTGGGGTGTCCCGTGCCACTTGGCCGAAAATACCCCAAAAGGACCTCGGAGGACCCAAAGAGACCCAAAACTAGCCCCATGAGGGCCGCGAGAGAGTCTGAAATGACTCTGGTAGGTCATATTGCATCCAATTCCATGTCGAAGGAATACGATATGGGGTGTGAACGAATAAGATAGGATAAGATCGATGTAATGATCTTTCCAGCACATAGCGAATACCAAGTCAGGTATCCGGGCAAATGGGGCGCGCGTGCCTTGAGCCAAAATGGCAGCGACGCGCAGGCCACACTCCCGATTATCTATAACATCTCCCAAAGAGCTACCCTTAAAGTCGGGAGGGGAGGAGACGGAGAGTAAAACCGCGCGGTCGCTAGGCTCTCGACAGGCGCGCAACTCTGTTTGCAAGGAAAACAGTGCACGCAGTCTGGTCAACCACCAGACTGAAGGGCGAGATTATTCGCCGGCGAGCTCCCTCGCAAAACTTTTCCACGCACGCACAGGACAGCCCCTCGGATATACAAGGGCTATCGGCCCGGCTAGACGCAAGCCAAACAGGCCATTCCCCTCCGGGCAAAAAGGTATTAAGGCAAAGAGCCTGAACCAACCTGAACAGGCTCGTTGCCAAGCGTGAAAAGTATGGCTCGCTTCCGAGCAGGAAAGAGGGCGCCTCCGCATCAGGCGCCAGCGCTGGCAAACTGGACCGCAGGGGCAACAAGGACAGACTAAAATTGTTTCGATTTAGGTTTGGTTTTGTCCTCGGGGCCCCGAAAGGGAACAAACTGCTGCACGTCATACTTAAATGACTGAATGCCTGACATCACTTCCAAAAGCAGCTCCCGATCGATACTCCCCTTCGTATGCCCGTCTGCGGTCATGCTTCTAGTGTCACACCAATGTACGTTTTGCACTATACCTTTATCCATGAGCTCACGTATCCAGCTGATATGTCCCAGCTAAATACGTTCCGTCGGCATATTAAGGTCTTTGCTGGATAACGATTTGTATACAGACTCAGCGTCTACAGTAAGGGATACTTTGATAGCTAGGCCTCCAACTTCACGCATATCTCGTAGTTGTCGCGGGGTAAGTGCTCCGGCCTTGAGCTCGTGGAGAGTGATGAGCGTGGGGTAGCACTCATCAAGATTATGCGCAACTGCAAGTGCCTCAGCGGCATAGCTGGACCTCACCTGCAGTCGGTGTGACTTGCATAGTCCGTCGCAAAGGTGAACGACGGATTTGCATTGGGGCGAGTTTCCTCGCCATAATACGTTAGCCCCACGAATACCGTAGTCCTTGGTTTCATCGCCCTCCTCCCCGGTGAGTTTCCGATACCCCGAATCACTATGTATGTCTACTTCACTCGTCGGTTTCATCCGAGGGGAGGTGATGCGTTTCGGGCTGCTGATCAGCTTTCGCGTCACAGCATTCAGTCGTCTGACTTGTAAGTTGGTGGGCGCTTGGATCTTCTGGAGAGATACCACATACACCATGAGCCAGACTTGAGTAAGAAGGGCATAGGCGAGAGCTCCTCACAGGCTAACGAACATGTCGGTGATGAGTTTGGAAGCCTTGGCGTCTGCCGCTGCTCTCGTAAGCTCAGGATGTGTGATAGGACGTAGTTGTTCAATATACTCGTCCTGGTGGATGATCACATCCCCTTGTTCATTCCTGGTGTAGCGAACGGCACAATTGGTGTAAGAATGCTTGTTGAGCTTACATGTACCAAACACCTTTTCGACACGTTGTACATAGTCGTCTACGTTTTTCTCCAGGCCTGTCATATTGATGTCGTCGACATGTTTTGCTGTAACAGGTCCTGACTGAATTCAAATTCAGGATCGTAGCTTGTCGGTGCAAGGCCTATAGCTCGAGTAGTCGTACGAAGCTTGAGGGGGAACCCTCTTGGGGCGTCCTTTGTACCCGTTCCTGGCTTGAGGCACCTGAGGCAGTGTCGGCTTTCATCATAAGAAGAGAAGCATGGTAGGGTGCGACGCACCTGGGCACTTCCTGGTGGAAGGGCGAAGCAAACCATGCGACATGCGAGTTTCCTCGCCGGTGGCATGAGCAAGTTCCTCATATGTCAGTCCTTTGAGGAACGCTTTGTCGATGTCCATAGATGCTAAGATCCATTATGGATGACACGCCGCCTCACTTGCCAGAAGCCTCTGGGACTGTCGGCGGGCAGTTCCCGAGAAAGTTTCTACATCGAAAGCCTCCGTGTCAATGAATCCGCGGAGGACAAGTCTAAGACTGATAGTTTTAACTTTCTCGGTGCTTACTTTCAAACTTCCACTTGTAAACATATCTGGATGTCATGGTGTTGGAAGCTTTTGGTAGGTCATACATCTCAAAGCATCGGTTGTCAAGCCAGATCTTGAGTTCGGTGCACAAGGCTTCACTAACCTCTTTAGGATGTGCTGCTATGTCGGCTTTGGTGAGTAGGTCGTCTTCCTTGACTACCACAGCACGTTTAGCAGCCGATGATACGTATACTCTCATCGTTGCGACCATGTTTGGTTCGAGCTGTGCGAGTTGGGTCTGATCCAGCACGATATTTGACATTTCTGGCGTGAAACATAGCTCGACATAGGGACCATGTTCATCACTGTCAAGAGAATAGCCCTCGTCAGGTGTAGTCGAGCATAAAGAGACAAGACAGGGCTCTTGTTGTTCAGGCTCGTCTCCGAGCATCTCCGACACAACGGTATCTTCCTCGCCCACAGATGCTGAGACCAAGACACATTGGTCGGGCAGCATGGTTGTTGGGACGCAGTAGAGATAGTCGTCGATAACCATTGTGGGATGAAGGTCCATACGCAACTCATCGTACCATTCCTCCATCATCATAGCCTCGATGTCGCGTTCCTCGCTTTCTTCGTAGATTGTAGACAGGCGACGTTCACGTGGTGATGAAACACCTGGGGTGTCTGGAGGAGGCCTGTCTCCAGGCTGGTCGGGTCCTCCAGACGGTGTGCCCAAGTGTTGATATTTGGCAAGGTCGTCATGGAATCCTAAGGAGGGAACTTGTGACGTCAGGCACTGGATGAGTCTGGAGTGAGTGCTACCAGTGATTTGAGAGATGTTCAGGCCAGTGCCTACACACTCATAATAGTGGAAAGCTGGGTTAACATCGCTGTCGTAGTGGATCAGTGTAGACCCGGTGGCGTACTTCACTGCAGGTAGATTGAGCACGCCCTTGGCCAATCTCACGGCTACTACGCGCTCAACTCGGAAATAGTTTCGCACGAGATACTGTAGTGCAAAGTGTACGCGCGGGTGAAACTTGCTGTCGGAAAGATTGAGGTTTCTCTTGTAGTCTGGAATATAGCCAAAGACTTTGGCAGGTTTCCCTGCACCAAGGTGTGCCACATATGAAAGGACGGTTTGCATGGCCACGTTGTCCATGCCAAGTTCCCCGGTGAGAGGGCATTCAATGTATAGCGTGTGGCGAGCATCAGGATACATTACAATTACCTCACGCGATCCTGCCTTGACGACTACGTGCCCTCGTTCAGGCACGTTGCCAATCACAGGGAACGGGCCATTCCAGCCTCCATGGTCGTCCTTAGTGGACGTAGGTCGGTGATAATCGACCAAGTCCCCAGCTGAGTATAGGCGAGCACCATCTGGGGCCTTTTTAGCCCTGAGGG